ATCACGTTCGGGGTTGGTAAGATGGTCATGCATTTCGGTCCTTTATTCAACTCCAAAATTATGAAATTTTGATATGTTTTAGCACAATKAGTCTAGTACCTACTGTCCAGATTTCAAGATTTTTAGAAAAGTACAAGTCCCTCAAACAGTAGACTTTTTAAAGTCTCGACAGTAAGTTGAGTTGTTGCGCAACCTTTTGTACAGACTGTATGGGGGTCTCAAACTTGGAATTTTTAAGAACGGCTAGTGGGGTTTGAAAGCCAACTCAATGAAATTGATTTAAAAAAAAAGAATCATGTTATTTGGACATTTTATGAGTAAGATATGCCTCCCCAAAGTCAAGGTCAGATTCTGCCAAAAGCTGATGGCCGATTTTTGCATGTGTATTGAGTTTATCAAAAGTTATTCTATTGTACAAAATGTGAAGAAGATCAAGAATGGATGCAGGATTAAGAGAATGCAATGTAGGTTAAACCTTACATATTGCATAAGATGATCAAAACTCTAAAAATGCAAGATTTAATGACATGCAATGAGGGAAAAACCACTCTTATTGCATTTTGATGAGTAAAAATTTATATCATCTTACAATGAGGGTAGGTTCATTCTAATATGTAAGATGATACAACAATTATTTTAAAGAAAATCCCAACTTTGGTTGGTCGTAGATGGTTTCCATAGCATAAATGCATGGTTGATGCATCTACCAACGTTAGGAGAAGAAGATAGTTTGAAAAAGAGTTTTAGATGAAGAACATAAACAAAATTTACCTTAGATGATCTTGAAATATTGATGAAATCTTGAATGTAAAAAGGAATTGTAGAGAGAAGTAGGAGGATTTCTAGAGAGAGGTTAGAGAGTTTGAGAGAAAACGTTGTATAGAGAGAGAGAGTGAAATGAGAGAATGAGTTGATGGAGTGAGTGGAGAGTGTTATTTAATGAAAGAAATGAAGAGAGGGTAGGGAGAGAGAGGGAGATGGCTGGATTTTTGAGGTAGTGGAGTGATGGTGTGTGTTTTTCTTTTGTCTTGTGCCATGCATACTTGCTCTGTAACATCCCGTAGAATCCGCTGCGGCTAGGCTAACTATACTAGTTGTATGTTGACTATAGTGTAGGTTTTCCTAGGGAAAACCGTCATTCTCTATAGCCATAGCTCTGATACCATGTCTGTCACACCCCGCCGCAGCGGATTCTACGGGATGTTACAGAGCAAGTATGCATGGCACAAGACAAAAGAAAAACATACACCATAGATCACAGTACAAAAGTTACATGGTACGGTTTACATAATTCATAGATCAGTTACAAAACAAATAAAGAAAATTCAAAATTTTAAGTCCAACGAGAGTCCATGCTTTTGATGAAATAAGATTCCACACACATGCAAACACCTTGCCAACTCGAGAATTCTCGAACTCGTAAACTCGGTGAGTTACGACCCCCTTTATAACACTTTTTAGCGTTTTTAGGGTGAAAAACATTATTAAAACACTTTAAATTTACCGGTTGATATATGTTGGAAACTTTATTTCGTTTGAACTACCTTTATGCTGAATTTATTATTTTGTTGGAACTATATGTAGTTGGAAACCTATTTTTGGAAACCTATTTTTGGAAACTATATAATCGCTGCGACGATTATTTTGTGAGAACTATATTTTGCTATGATATGCATGTTTTGGATATATAGAT